TACACTTGGTTGGAGCAAAAAGTCGACCGAGCACTTTTTACGGTTGCGGTGAAAGGCGCACTTTTGACTCTCGCCGTCCACGAGCGCGTCGCAGCCCTGGAAGAGGCAGACGATGGGTGTTGTCGTCGAGGTCATGGTGAGAGTACGTGTGGTGTACTAGTTCTTGGTAGTTCTGTGGTAGGTGCCAACGCGGGCAAATTCAAATCTGACCAATGAGCCCGACTCCCTGCACCCCCGCCATTCCACCGTGGAAACGTAACCAATTTTCCAAAAATTTGGAGTCCGTCGCCGCTGTCTCTCGCACGACACGAGGGTCCTAGGTTGTGCGACACCAATGTGGTCTTGGATATCATTGACCATCGCGTGGGAGATCGCCTACGACGCTTGATGGATCAGCGAGACCAGTCCGACAATCGCAGGTACATCGAAGTCCGCCGCGCAGTCTCTGTCCGACCGTGATGCTATGCGTTGTGCATGAGACTACGTTCTCTGCTTGTCTAAATCCAAGACAAACTTGCAATAGTTGGAAACGAAAACCAGTCGAAACGCGAGCTGACTCGGAGTTGCAAGCCATGGAGGTGTAGACTGCTGGTCAAAAGTTTTGACCAGCAGTCCGTGGTAAAACGCTCGCTCATCCACGTGGGGTTCCAATGTAATATATGTAACGCAAACGAGCGAGTAGTAGAGATTCAGCACATGCCGATGCGATACCTTGGCAGCGCATGTCTTTCAACCGCGGTACGTAATCCTTGGTCCAACTCGAGCGGCGGCGCGTGTTGGTCACACGAAGAGCAAATTTCGAGCTTGCGTTGCTTCCGATGAAGGTCCGGCGTGCGTAGTGTTGGCGAGGGTTGGTCCACGGCGACACCACAGGCTCTCTTCAGTGTGGATGACCCCACTGAAGAGGAAATGTCCGTGCACCGTCATGGTGTTCTCCAAGCTTTTTGTGAACGTGTGATTGATGCATGGCATTCGTTCGATCGGTGACTTCAAATCCAGTGACGGACGAGACAGATTGCTGGCGTTGGCGTCGTCTTCGTGGCTAAGGAGTCTCACTGGCAAGGTGACGCTGCTACACTGGTATGCGTCGATGGCACTGTGCCGCGATCGAGATGCCGCCGCCGCTGGAAACAACGACGGCCTGACAGTGCCACCACGCCCCAGCCTAGTGTCTTCTTTCCACCCGCTTCTAGCAACTTCGCGAGAACGCACCCAGGGGCCATCCAGTTTGCTAGCCGGAACTTCCGGCTAGCAAAACGGAATGGGAAAGCATGTACGGTACTGTATCGCGCTGAGGTATCGGTGGTACCGTACTGCATATTGAAACAGAAGTTGTACCACTATTGTCATTCATTCGATGACATCGCTCAGGTGTGTGCTTCCTGTAGCATCGCTGGTCTTGTTGGGTCTTGTGTCCATCTCAACAAAGGCAACCAACATACTCGTGGTCCTTGATCTGAGGCATCGTCGTAGCTCTTCTCCACAGTTTTGGACGGCTGCATGGTCCAGCCACCAGATCTAATACTATCGTGGTGGAGCTAATTTTCACAACTGATACTGCAGTCGCCCAGTTTTCCGGAGAACGAATGCGTCCACGCGTTGGCGCGTTGCGCAGCTCGTTGTGTGTCTTTCAAAAACCATTACGCAAAGCCCACTTTTTATCGCGATCGCGAGACGACATTCAACCGCGTAACACAAGTGCTTCATCGTTTTTTATTCTGAAAGGCCAACCTGGGCGGCTCAGACGCCTTTGTTATCCAGCGATGACTCGTGCGATCGCCTCGAAACCACCACTACAGTGTGACTCGTACGCGTCATAAACAAGGTTTCGCCTCGGGCATTTCAGTGCAGCGTTGGCTTCACACGTCGTTCATCGCATGGCACTCTGAGCGCTGCAACTCGCCGAAACTCTAAGACCCTTTTTTGTCACGCATGACCCTCTTTTGTCCGCATCAATTCTTCGTGTCGTCGACGACCTGTAACCGGAAACCGTCGTGCTGTGCACAACTTGTCCATCGACGACCGTCAGCACGGTCTCACATGTTATGACCTCCGTTCAAGCATACCTAACCTCGGTTCAAACAGACAAAAACTTGGTTCAAATTAGAGCTCAAATTAGATAGTTTAAAAATGCGACGCAAGCGATCGTTTACTTTTCATAGCCAAATTGCTGGGACGCGCCGCCGCTGCACTGCCACAGCTGCGCCTTCTTGGACCCGAGGTCCATGTCGAGGCAGAAGCCTTTGTGGATCATGTGCTTGATGGCCTTGCTCGACGGGTCGTACTGCCACTGCTGGTTGCCGTTGGAGAGACTGCACGAGTAGGTGTGGACGGGCGCGCCGTTGGAGCCGCGATACGCGTCGAGACAGAGGCCCGTGAGCTCCGACTTGATGGTGTTCTGCACGTGGTCAAAGGTCCAGAGCGCGCCTTGGTCGCTCGCGAGCGCGTTGAACGACGGGCTCGGCGGCCGGAAGCTCACGCTCGAGTCTTGGTTGGCGGCAAAGACGACGTTCTGGCTGCGCATCGAGATGCCAACGTGCAGCATGACGGAGGCGACCGCGATCATCTGGTTG